GGGGGGGGGGGGGGGGGGGGAAGGGGCTGGAAGGGATGTGGAGGAGGGGGAGCAGATCAAGGCTTCCAGCAGTGAGAGAAACAGACTTACCAGCCAGACACTGACCGGACTGGATATCAGCAATCGGATCGGCCAATATGGCTCCTTAAAAATTGGTCATATCAGTATCAGCCCAAAAAATCTCTATCAGTGTACCCCTAGTCTAAACCCCCTGGAGGAGAATCCAGGAGGCAAGGTGGTGTTAGGTGCCCAGGACCCAATTCTGGCTCTGGGCGGTGGCTGGGATTGCTCCGGGCCCCCCAAAGAACCAATCCCAGATCCAGCCCACAGATAGACCCTGTGCCACTTGTATGACTCACAAGGCTTAAAGGTTGAGCACAACTGCCATACAACACATGCATACCCTATCACTCTTCACATTTTGCATTGGGAGCAAAAGGTAATTTCCTTCCAACCACTGAATCCTAATTATTCCAGACTGAGAAAGATAGGGGAGGTTGTGGAATGTGCCGAAATATGGACTCACCTTAAATTATTTTACAGTGACTATGGAGTTTTTCTTTTTCCTTCAAGCACTTGTCCAAAAGTGATCCTCAAAGCAGTGACCAATTAATTCAGAGGCTGGATCAGAGTCCACTAGAAATGCTACTGAAGTAACACTTTGCCAAAGACAGCTTTCCAGTGAAGGGTTTAGAACTTTACATCTCAAGAACACATAAACAGAATTCCAGGGGAAACACTTTACAAATATCTAGTATGGATATGGTTTTTTCCAGTAACTTTGCAGATATTACTTGAGCTCTGGTGGATCATGTGCTAATATTTGTTAGAGCATCTACCTTGGCTATTTCACAGTCTATTCTAACACAGGCATAAATCCATTTGGAAAAGTCTCTGGATGGAAATCACTATGGCCTTATCCTACTGGGCCCACAAAGCTGAGACGATGACTTGGATGGGTTTGTCCTTTGTGAATGCAAGCTCAGGTCATATTTCACATCCAGGGTAAGATGCAATGGCTGTCATGGACACAAAGAATTGGGAAGACATCAGAAGATGAATGTTTTGGCTAAGTGCAATTCTGTTGCAGTTTTTTCTTACAACAGTGTAAGAGTTGTGTAAGTTGTTGTAGCCATGACGGTCCTGAAATTATACAAGATACAAGGACTTCTTAGGGTGATAGTTTTTGTTGGACCAACTATGTAGATGGGATGAAATTAAACAAGTTTGCCTACACAGCTGATCCAATAAAAGCTGTCATCCTAAGAAATCCTTGCCCCTCAGGTTTTTTTCAGCAGTTAACAAGAACTTTCAGCCAGAGGTTACCAGGGATCCTGGTTTTCTCCAATTTAAAAAAAAAAAAAATCAAAATCCCCCAATTTTTGGTTTAACCCCCCCCCCCCCAAATCCACATTTTTCCTTGATTAAAATGAAACACCACTATCTATCTATCTTAGTAGTGTTTCATTTAAACCACAGAAAAATGTGGATTTGGGGTTACATTTTTTTAACCAAAAATTAGAGATTTTTTTAAATCAGAGAAAACCAGGATCCCCAGTGATTACAGACACCTTTTTCTAGATAGAAAATGTGTATCAAATCATCAGGGCTCGGATCTCCTCCACCCTTTTCACTGAGGTGACAACAATCTGGAAGGCCATCTTTACTGACATGATGTCATTAGCTCAAATGATTGATTCACGACAGCTGCAAAGATAAAGATACTGCAGTGCAATTGGGGAGGGACCAGGAAGGGAAGGCAAATGGGGTGCACAGAGTGGTCATTGCTCAAAGACACGATCCTCGAAGCACAAAAAGACACTGTTCCTGCAAAAAAGAAAAGTAGCAAGAGGGCTGGCAAGCCCTCCTGGCTTAATAGGGACATTGTGGTCCTCTCAAAAAAGAAAAAAAGAGGTGTATGCACAGTAAAAGCTAGGGATGGTCCTCAAGGAGAACTATACTTTAGTGGCCAACACTTGTAGGGAGTAGGAAAATGATCAGGAAAGCCAAGGCGGCGACTGAGTCTAGGTTAGCCACGGGAGTCAAGGATAATAAGAAGTCTTTCTTTAGGTATGTAGGCAGTAGAAGGAAAACAAATGGAAGTGTGGGACTGCTGCTTAACGCCTTGGGACAGCTGGTAACCCACATTCAGGAAAATACTGAACTCCTGAATGCTCACTTTGCTTCGGTATTTCACTGGGCCATAGGGAAAGTCAAATAAGATAAGGCTCATAGGGGACATGCCAGGACTGACAGCCTCCGCACTGTGGAAGCTGAGCGGGTACAATACCAATTAGAAAAGCTAGACATTTATAAGTGAGTGGGACCAGAAGAACTCCATTTGAGAGTGCTGAAGGAGCTGGCTGAGGCCATCATGGAGCCCCTGGCAAAGCTCTTTCAGAATGCGTGGCATACAGGGGAGATCCCTGAGGATTGGAAGAGGGCCAATGTTGCGCCCATCTTCAAGAAGGGGAAGAGGGGGGACCCGGGCAACTATAGGCCAATCAGCCTAACCCGGGTCCCAGAGAAAATCCTGGAAAAGCTCATTAAAGAATCTATGTGCGATACACTCGCAGAAGGTAAGATTCTGAACGACAGCATGGCTTTGTCACAGGTAGGTCTTGTCTTACCAATCTCATCTCCTTCTATGACCAGGTCTCTCACCACCTGGACATGGGAGACAAGGCAGACATTATATACCTAGACTTCCAAAAGACTTTTGATCTAGTATCCCACAATATCCTTCTTGGAAAACTGGAAGATTGTGGGCTCAGCTGCTAGACAGTTCAATGGGTGAGAAACTGGCTACAGGGTAGGACCCAGAGAGTTCTCATGAACTGATCCATGTCGTCCTGCCACAAAGTGGCCAGTGGTGTCCCTCAGGGGTCTGTGCTTGGACCGCTGCTTTTTAACATCTTTATTAATTATTTGGATGTGGGGGTGAAAAGCTTGCGGGCCAAGTTTGCAGATGACACCAAGTTATGGGGCAGTGTGGCCATGCCAGAAGATAGGTTGCTGATACAAGCAGACCTGGACAGGCTCAAGAGTTGAGCAGACTGGAACCAGATGAAGTTTAACACTTCCAAGTGTAAGGTGCTCCATCTGGGGACAAATAACCCAAAACACATGCAGGTTTAGAGGTGACAGCTTGACTTGCACCACAGCTGAAAGGGACCTAGGGGTAATGATTGACCATCGCACAAACATGAGGCATCAATGCAATGCAGTGGCCAGGAAGGCAAACCGGGTTGACTGCTCCAGGCCCCACGGAGCCGGGCCAGCTTTGCATTCAGCCCCTTCCCCCTCTTCCCCCCGCCACACGCTGATCTGCCCCGGGCTCTGCACCCTGCTACGGTTGTCTCCGACTAGGACAGACTCAGCCATACCAGGGCTATGATCAGACCGGCAAAATTTTGTCTGGCTTTGCACAAGACTCTGGGAAGGAATGGGGGAAAAGGTGTATAGTAACCTTGTTATCCTATAGCTCAAGAATGTATTAGACAGGAACCCTGGGCCCATGCCTCCTTTGGACCAGAAAACCTGACACTTTCATTTGTCTGCCTTGCAGATGGGTCCCTCCTGGGTTAGCCTCAAACTAAAAGATGTCTCAAAGATAAAGTCCTTAATTTCCCTCTTGTGATTCAGAAATACGTGCCTGAGTAGGTGGTTCCAAAGGTCAAACAATTGAGCCCCAGAAATATATTCTGGATGACTAGTGTACCACATCTGGAGCTGGACTGCTTTCTAGGGTAACTGAACAGAAAGACTTGACACTTCCTACATTTTTGATATGCATGGTTATGGTGTTGTCTATCATGATTTGTATCAACTGTCCTGAGATGCGCTGTGAGAATGGATTTGCAAGTGTTGCCCTAGCAAGTCAATATGGTCTGTAGTTCTCCTCAGGACCATAAACTTTCATTTCTGAATGCTGTTTATGTAGCTTTTCAGTCCAGCAACAAAACTTCTGCCACTATAATCCAAGACCGGTGATTCTCAACCAGAGTGCTGCGAGTATTTTAAAGGACCCACTAAATGCAAACACCTACACATGATTCACAGTATACACGTGGAAATTTCAGACAGGAATCCTTAGTGTCAGAAACAAATCTGCCCTATTGTGGTCTTTCTGATTTCTTTGCAATAGAAAAATTCTTCTATTACCCTATTTACTCAATTAGAAGGTGAGATTTTTCCCCTCATTTAAGATGGGAGAAAAAAGCCCCTCACTTTACAGTCAAGCATAAGGCAGTGGCAGGGCAGGCAGCTCTGGAAATTTCAGACAGGAATCCTTAGTGTCAGAAACAAATCTGCCCTATTGTGGTCTTTCTGATTTCTTTGCAATAGAAAAATTCTTCTATTACCCTATTTACTCAATTAGAAGGTGAGATTTTTCCCCTCATTTAAGATGGGAGAAAAAAGCCCCTCACTTTACAGTCAAGCATAAGGCAGTGGCAGGGCAGGCAGCTCCTGCAGCTCTGGCCCCCACCCAGTGTAGGGGCAGGAGCTGGAGCCACAGCTGCCACCTGCCCCATCCCAACTTTCCCTCCACATGCCCTGCCACTCCTCTTTCACAGCCTCCAGTCTCCCGCACATGCACACACTTCTCCCTCTCTCCCTCTGCTGCACTCTTACTTTTGCTCCATGCCAGCTGCCCCCCCCACCTTCCCACGCCCCCTGGATGAGCCGCCCACAGTTCCATCCCTGGGCAGCGCTTACCCCTGCCTCAGCCCCACTCCCTCCCTCACCATGGGGGCCTAGGTCTACTCTCCATGCCCCTTCCCTCTCCCATGCCCCTTACCAGCCCAACGCTGCTCTCCAAGCTGCCGGGCTGCATTCCTGGCTGTGTGCCTGCTGCAGCTGCATGCATGCACATGCATTTATCAGCCAATGTCTTTCCTTTTATCAGTGACAATTCGATATGGACTGATATATCAGTGCACCTCTAGTTCCTACAGTCACCCCCCCCGTAAGGTTCAAGGCTCATAGCCTATAGGGCAACATTAGCATTGGATGAGCACAGCCCAAGGTCAAGACATCAAATCACAGCTCAAAAGATGATTATATCTGGAATCCCGGTATTTTGCCAGTATGATCCTTATGCAGAAGGGTGGCATTTTAGAGACTTCTAAGTGACTACTACCTACTTCTTCAGATGCACTTGACGAAGTAGATGGTTGCTTATGAAAGATCATGAATCTCTGAACCAGCTAATCTCTAAGGTACTACCCCTTGTCCTGCCTTCTGCCTGACTTCAGATTCACATGGCTAAACACCTCTCTAGACTCCCCACGGACAAAGAAAAGTAGGGCACACTTTCTAGGGGAATATCTGTGCCAGTGTTCTAAGCCTTGAATATACTCTGATATCAGTGAGGAACAAAAAAAGTACACATGTTAGATCCACTGGCAAAACCTGGCTTCAAAGAAAGAACGCTGAGGGAGTTTGATGCCAAGTTCTTAGTGCCATCTGGGAGGTGGAGTTAAATGGTAATGATTCAGTCTTCTGCAGTACAAGTCTGCTCATGCCATGAATATGGACAATGCTACTGGTTCCCTTGATGCCCAAGAGCAGGGCAAGGTCATTATCTCCTTCTAGGTCTGCTACAATGAACTAGGCAGTGCAATGACTAGTGGTAAATAGCTCAGTGCTATACCTGTCTCTTTAGTTATCAGTGCCATGGAGCCAGAGACCAATGGAGCTGGGCCAGAGAGGAAGCCAAAGTCTAAGTGCTGTTGTTAGCATCAGTTCTTCACTCAACATTTTGAAACTGAGTGAGAACACTGAAATGCACTTGAGCTTAATCAAGAACTCCTGTGGACCAAAACACTATTTATAGGGCCAGAAAGTGGAAATCTTCTGGAGGTACTTGTTGGGAGGCGAAAATCTGCCCCTTGAACTCCCCTTGCCCTCAAGCACCATTTTCTTATTCAAGTTCAATGCTAAAGATTTGAAATATAGGGAGCCCGCACTACTACACTTTTGTTCTCCCAAACCAGAGGCATGCCTGTTCCATTTTCTCAAGGGATTCATCTTCGAGCCTTGCCTCCTCCTGTCAGTTCAGGAAATGAAAAACTTACAGATAATGAATGTTCTTGAGATGTGAGATTCTTCCAGGTAGCAGAGGCAGTTAGGTCAAACCAAAAAAGCACCCAAGTACCCATTTGGATCTGGCCCAACATTTTTGCAGTACAGCAATACTGAGGAAACCTGTTCCAGGTCAAATATTTTTTTTTAATTCCCAGCAAGCAATAGGGAAACTAACTCTACTGATTAAAAGTCAAAAGAAGTTAAGACTGCAGTAAACAGAGAGCAAGAAGCTCAGTCTCAAGCAGTGAGGCGGCTGAGAACTTTCTTCCCTTTATGCTCTTAGTAAGCCCAAGAAGCAGAAGGGTGCATGTGTCCTGAACAGGTACTTCTAGCCAAATAAGTCTCCATGTCCAAAGACAGGAGGTGCGCACACATCCAGAAACAATCGTAGGAGAATTCCTAAATTACCATACCATAGCAAGGTACACTGCATCTTGACCACCTGCTTAACAGCAATATTCTGCATTAGATGATTAAGGAATCAGAATTAAGGCAAGATTTCCCATAAAGCAGGCACTACCACTAATAAATGTATACCTTGAAAAATATATAACCTTGCATTAAATCTTAAATTTGAGACTCTGGGAATATAATCCCTTTAGAATATAATTCTAAAGCAGTGTTCATATGAAAGATGATAGATAAAAGGAGATAGACCTCCCATTAAACATTTGATAATTGCCTGTTGCCTGCAGAAGCTCACAGCTTTTTGCAGCCTAATGCACATATGGGATAAGTTTTGTCTACCTGTTACAAATAGGAGCACCAACACAGTTTATGCAACTTGTCCAAAGGCACAGAGCAAGTCAGTGTCAAAACCAGAAACAGAACCCTGGAGAAGCCCCATGTTCCAATTCCAGTGGAAGTATTAAAGCTGATTTCCTACTGAAGGACCAGAATACACATAGATGCAATTGACAAAACATATCAACTTGCCTGAACTGGTCTATTCCCAAGGAAGTTTAAATCCATGTTCTCCCCAAAGAGGTAACCCTCAGGATGTGGGGTGTCAAACTTCTCACCTCCCATGAAAAAGTGACTTGCAAAGTAGTTCCCTGGAAAGACAAGAAGTAAACAAATCCAAATGAGTGACTCCGGAAAAACAATAACAATCTTCATCTTTTATTTAGTGTATTCAGGGGAGGCCCATGACATAAACCAGGCTGTGCTTTAAAAGTACAGCTCTTAATTGCAATGCAGGATTAGACAATTCCTGACAACACTGGTGTCACTGGTGTCATGTGGTGTCACTGGTGTCATGTGATGTCAATGCCAATAGCAGTGAGCAGGAGACGCAGCAATAAGAAACTTGGCCAAGCCATTACAGTATTGTTAATTCCATTACATCTCTCCCCTGGAAGGAAAAAAAAAGGATCCAATTATGAACTCACAATTTGTCTGACCAATAAGGACTGGACAAGTTTCCTTTCAGATCCCATTAATTTAGTCCCTTAGGCAGCCAGAGCCATCGCTGTTGAGTAATTGTAGGTACCTCCCCTCCTTAGATCTCTAGTCTGAAACTGCCTTCAAATCTTTACTGTAGCTGCTAGAAGCAACACACACACACTTTCAATTTGATTAAACACAGCCAGGTCTATATGCAGAATCACAGATGCCTGTAAGAGACAAATCCTGGGACCGATCAAACTTAACCTTCACTCTACCAATCTTGTCAATGGTTTCATCCTCTCAAGTCAAGGTGATACACTGACGATGAAAATTTCCTAAGAATAAGCCGGGTGCAAGACCACTTGGAACTCTTGACAACTTTTTTTGTTTTTTAAACCAGACTGATCAGCTGGGATCCTGGTATTCTCTGATTTTAAAAAATCCCCAATTTTCAGTTTAAAAAAGTAACCCCAAATCCACATTTTTCCATGATTAAAATGAAAAACCTCTACCTCTAGTGGTGTTTCATTTTAATCATGGAAAAATGTGGATACAGGGTTACTTTTTTTAAACAAAAACTGGGGATTTTTTTAAATCGGAGAAAAACAGTATCCCTGCTGATCACTATAGCAAGCCATCTATGCAGCCTCCTGCCAGGTACCAAGCCATCTGGAGCAACTGCCACACCCAAATTTGGATTTCAGACATTCAATGGAGTCAAAGTAGCAAGAAGGAGCACAAAGTTAAAAGACCCCACCCAAGGTTTCTCCTTGTCCTTTCAAAGCGAGGCTTTCTCTACTTCCTGTGGGGAGAGGAGTGAGCTAAACAACTTCACTGCACTGCCTACATACATTTACCTACAGCTTGGAGCCCTGTAAAGAACCCCTATATGGAGTGAATGCATTTGAAAGGTTATGAAGGCATTAATCATGCAGAACTCTCAATCCATCTGGAAAGCCATAACTATGATTTATTCTGAAAACAAGAGGGTTTTTATGAGAGGTTTCTACTTTTTCAATTTTTTTTCTTTTTGCTTCAAGAAAGATCTGTCTTATCCTGCATAGTTGGTGCCATTTTAATGATGAACTCCCAAAGACTGAACTCTGCTAACAAGCTCATGGGCCTCCAGATGTTTATATTTTAGAAATATGCCCTTCTCCCCAGAGATCCTTTGCTTTTTTGTGGCCTTGTGACAAGGTACTTAGCAGAATTTGAAGATTCACTTGAATCTGGCAGGCTACACTATGAGTGCGTGCGTCTGCTATGGCCTTGAACTTGCAACCTCTGAGCTGTCAACCATGCACCTTAGTACCCATGCCATCCCAGCCCTGTCCCCAGAGATGATAATCAAACTCAGGTGGGGTTCAAAATCTAGCTGATACCAGGTCTACATCATCAGCATGGTAATGCTACAGTGCCTTAGACAACAATCCCTTTCCCCGCACCCCAAGCAATTAGGAGTAAAATGAGCCATTCTGAATGTAGAACCCCAGTTAGACTTTCTGATGGATAAAACCAATCAGCTTGGAGTGCATTGTGACATGTATGATTATGCCAAACTCCACAATAGCATGGAGCACAGAGAGGTTAATTTCACAGTTTATATAGGTCAAGCAGGATTGCTTTGGAACATTTTATCTGTTTAACTGCAAAAAAAATTCCTATGATTATCCTGACTCAAAGTCAGATGGCTGACTCTTGATTATAATTTGGTATTCTATGAATGAGACACATTTAGGGGTCATAATCTCTTCTCAGGGAGTCTACATTTATATGCAGTTCACATTAACATTACCGTGCACATAAATCTGTTCTGTGTTCTTTTGATATCACCATCACAGCCTCTATGGTGCTTTTAACCCCACAAATTCCTAAGTGCTTTATCCAGATTGTGGACCAAACCTGCACATTACTTACATAAGTAAAAGTACAGACATAACGTCTGTATTGTTATCAAAGAATACCGGTTAGGGTCCATCTCTTACAGCTACACAATTTTGCAGAGATACAACTATAGCAAAACAGTTCCAATTTTAACCCTGCTTCATGCAGGGTCAAAGTCAAGCCAATTTAGCTACCTTCTATTCCTACAGACTCACGCTGATAAAATGTTTAGATGGTAACAGCTGTTGTGTGCTTCCTTTTTTAATGCAGTTAAAATGTATGCTTGTCCATACCCTCAGATTTGTAGAAGCAAATC